CGTATTCGGGTGACACGCTGAATCCTCAAAAACGGATAACGATACGCACACGACCGGGGAATTTAGACGAACGCGGAACACACGATCACGTGATCACGCGATTCCCACCCACCGAGAAAGAAGACAAGAGAAGAAGAAGCGGACCTTTGGGAGTTCTTTTAAGACCCACAAAGGCCGATTCACAGTTAAAACAATACTTCATTTTGTGGGTAAAGTGAACAACCACGTAGGGCTGGTGGTTTACGAAAGAATGTTGTCCACTTTAGCCCAGTTGTGCTCCGATTCCGAGTGGTTGGATCCTGCTACGTTGTGGGCAGGAATTGTACTCTGCGTCACAGCCCACGCACTGGAGTTTGTGGCGCATTTTTTCGGGGTTATTTGACTTGCCCTTTGAAGATGATGTGTATCGCTTCTGACGAGGATTGACCTGGAGGGATTTCGGTGACCTCCGGATTCTTCCTGTTCATCGATAAGGCGAGTTCTCCAGACGTAACGTCCTCTGGGCGGCTTCGACCATGGTCTCCCGTTCTGTTGTCATTCCGAAGGTATCCAATAAGATGTGTGGCGGCAGGTGCACAGGAATACTGCCTGGCGTAGAGGGTTCTCCGTGGCACGGTCGAACTTGATTGCGATGGCGGACCCATTTGTCATCACCCACGGAGAGAACATGGCCGTCGTTGTTGCTTTGATCCAGCGTGGATGACCTGCTCGATAGTCGCGAGCGTATAACGAGGCTCCAACGACGAATCCATTGTGCTTGGTGCAGGCAGTAGATTGACTTGGTGGCTTTTCGGTCGGGATGAGCGCTTTGTTAGGGGTGCGTAGCTAGCGGCCCATCAATACTTCGGCTGGAGACTGGCATCTTGGAGCGGCTGGATCTGGTGCGGACCGGTAATAAAGCAGGAACGCTTCCAGGAATTCGTCCACGGTCACTTCCCCACGAGATTTTAAGAGTTCCCTCTTGAAAGTGTCAACAAACCTCTCCACTTGACCATTGGACTGGGGATGGTAGGGCGGTGAGCATAGGTGTTAGATGCAATGCCGGCCACAAAAGTGTTTGAATATGGAAGACAAACTGGGAGTCATTGTCGGATACCAAGACGTCAGAAAGGTCATGTTGACTGAAGATTTGTTTTAGACAACCCAGAGTGGCGGATGCGGTTGGTGGGTTGATGGCGACCACTTCAGCCCATTTGGAATAGGCGTCGACCACGACCAGGTAGGATATGCCATCGATCGGACCAGGATCATCATCATCATCAACAGCAGTACATCAGCCATTTGAACTGATGCTTCGCTGCCATACAACCATGAGGACCTATGAAATAAAGAATAAGAGGGAGAGAAGAGGGGACTTACCTGAAAACTTTAATGCCCTAAGCAAACATTCAGGGTCAAGGCGCCTACACCTTGTGTTAACGACATACCGTCACAAACAGCTGGCTATCGTGCAAAGATAAGGCGGCATCGGCGAGACAGCTTCCTTGCGGCTTTCACTGCCCCGCGTCATAATCAGCCATTACCCCGCAGATAACTCAGCACCAAACACACTTTAAACAGGCAATCCGATTAGACGGCAGCAGACGCGCCACCGGTGTCGGTTGCGAGCCATGTCCTGTAAAGTCTCGAGCCAAGCACAAGGTGAGTCACGTGGACTCCAACCCGGAAGGCGAGACGGACCAACGGCACCCAATTTGGTCGTCAGTGACTTCGATGTGCACTCAAGACAACGGTTTTCTATCGGTTGCCAAGAAACTGGTGGTTGGTGTGGTGACATCTTGGATGCCTGTTGACTATCCTGGAACACGGGGGCGGACTGACTGTTTGTCTCGGTGTGTGCAAAACCAAAAATATCATTTTCTTCTCGAGTTGTATTTCGATTCTCCCTTTTTCCCCATGGTTCTTATGGCACGTTGTCTGTAATAAAATCGTGAATCTACTCTTACTACTACTACTACTAGCTAATACTATTACGATGACGACGACGAATGCATACAGGAACTGTACACCCGGGTGACCTACAGTGACGTACACTTGAAACCTGTTTTAACTTACTGTAGTGACAATGTACAGTTTAATCGACAGCATTTTGGATGAGGTGGGAACGTGCGCATATGCGTCTGACATCAGATTACTCCTTAGTGGAATAAGGACCACGGATTTGATAGTGAAGTAGTCGGACCACATCAGTCGACGTTAAAGAGGCCATTGGTGTGGTCTACTTAAATTCTTCGGAAGCGTTCGATCATCCAATTTGTATAGCTATCATCACACGCCGAGAATAATCACAGTTAGATAGGGCCGGATGACGCACTCTATTGCCTAGCTTTCGCCATTTTACATTATCCTTCCGTTCGACAAAAGATTTGATCTTCTCAGCTGTCACCAAACAGTAGCGCTCGACTCGTCTTGGCATAGGAAGTACGGCTAGTTTCCCATTCTAGTTTCATGTAAATGTCATGGAAACCTAGTAGAACTTGTAAATACTTTGTTCCGCACCTGTAACAAAGCACTGTTCCTCAAAAGTTAACCATACGTCCTACGCCTTAAATTACTCTGATGCACGCAACATAACATCACTGCAGTCTCTTCTGCAAGCGGCAGTGCGAGACACGCCTGTAAAGGCGTAATCATAGTAGTACAAACGTATGATCGGTAATTGCACAGAAAATTACAGCCTAACCAGTAACATATGTGTATGTATGCATGTAGTTGTTTGTGTGTATGTGTAGCTAGTCTGTTAAATGAGTTTGTTGATGGGACTCTGAATTCGTGGTTTTGCTTGCCGGATTTTACATAGAAGAAAGATCAGAGAAAGACTTCGAATTGAATGACGTAAATCATGTGTGTAAGATCCTCCGAAAAGGCAAGTAGCAGTGACTTTATTTAGTGGCGAGTCACATCCGCCATGTCGCAATGTTGTTAAGCGGACACTTGTGGCTTTTTGTAGGGAGAACGCTTTCCAGGCGTAAACCCACCACCTCCTGGAACACTGCCGCCGAACCATTTGCTGGAACGGGATTAACCCGAACAACCTAGCTGGCACCGCGAGGTTGTTCGGCTAACCAGCCATATCCAGTGACTTCAGAACGGTGTACTCCTGTAAATGGCCCCTAATTCATGGTCGCTTCAGAGATCACAACGTGAACTTATTACGATTCGCCTGGCAATGTAACAGACGGAACCCCCATTGCGCGCAACGTACAACGATCCCAAGTGCCGTGATACACAGTACTGAGCGCCCTGCGACTCCACGATACAAAAATCTGGAACTCCGGGGCGCTGCGGTTCAAGGCAACTATGAAATGAACTATTTTGATGCCTATTAAAAATATTATAAGTCCATAATGACCGCGAAGGTGCAGTCTATTGCTGAAAGCTTTAGTGTCTCTCTGCAGATCATAGATATGACTACCAGGTGCTGAAGATATCTTTAATTGCATGCATTTTCCACCAGGTCATACCAATGATACTCATGTCCGGTGGGAATTTTGCGTAAGCAGCACTAAGGCCCATTAACGGCAGCAGGCCTTCTGGACTCGACGCACTGGATCATTTGGTACACTTAATTCATTTTAGCTGGTTACACCACGTTCTCCCGCAGTGGTCCTTTCACCAAACATGGTATGTGAGCTGTGTCCATGTATCATAGTTGCGCATTAATTAGTGGCAAAGTAGCAAGAAGATAAGGAGCCATGAAAAATTCACGTTGGTGCCTACAGTCTTTTGGACTTACGTCATCGATTAAGAGTTTTGGTTTCCGTAATGTAACGGATGTGGCGAATGGGCCTTTGCGATCACTCTGTTGCTTCTAACACCTGTCCCTTGATCCAATGATTCAAGCATGGTTTATTGTGTTTTAGTTAGACAGTTTTGGGTTTGATGCTTTGTGCTAGCTTCTCAACCGAAAGGGTTTTTAACGGTATTGTGGATTTTGGGACCTCGGTCCCCCACATCATCATGCTCAATCTTAAGTTGATGAACTGAGGTAAGTTAATGGATTCTTTTGAGCGTGCAACGTACCAACCCGAACAATAGGTAATTTAGTATGAAATTCTAGTGTTGAGTATGCGAAGGAAAAGCTCTGGTTGTTCTTAAACCAGCGTAATGCATTGCGTATGGCTTGTTGGAATGCTATATTAAATCTGCACATAGTGCTCGACATCTTTTGTAGTGGTCATTAAGGCATTTCTTTAGAGACGCGTTTCATAGGACCTACCACCGGAGCCTGCAAGGACCTCGCCAGTGATGTACCGACTCATACAACGTGTGTTTCGTAATAGGTGATGAAGACATTTTCATTCAACTTTTTATGCAACGGCAGCCATGGTGCCCAGAATGCAACCAGCTAGCCGCTTAATACCACTTCCTTCATATATTAGGATGTGCCCCTTCCTTGATTGTCGTGTGATTGTCGTGATTGTGGTCACCCACAAGTTTCTCAAAGTATCTGTGGTACCAACAATTTTGGAGCCCGTGTACAAGTTTTGGAAACTTAGCATATAGCTAGGTATTCAGAGAAAGGTACGGTGTACAGACGCGCTTTAGCTAAACAACACACGTCAAACCGTGGTAAACGAGCGAAGAAACCTAACGCGCTTGGTTATGTCACCGGCAGCAGAATTCCTTTCATGACCAACCTAATAGGCTGCTCTGCAGTACACCGATTGCCTTGAGTTCTCACTAAGGCAGACTGACACCTCTCTTCGGCCACCCACTATGTGTGAAGCTTCAAGCGTTACAGAGGCAGTAGCCTCACCCTTCGGTCGTAACAGGGGTTAACGGAGTAAATGATTCAGCATTTGTAGGCTCGCTTATGGAGTAGAGCAAGATTTTCACTCATCCGCATTAACTGACCGTCTAATGCACAATAATCCTTTACCATTCTGGGATTACGCGCTGCTACCCCAACTAGTAATTCCATAGTTGCATTCATCTAAACGTCCGGATTGATTTCTCCTAAGTTCATGCCCGTCTAAGACTCGCAGAATCGCACTTACTTTCCTCACTTCGTCAAGCGACAAAGTTGAGCCTTTATCCGCAATCCCGTCCTCAATAGCTTGAGGCACTCTGAGTCTCTCAAATTCCGAATATTCTTTGGAAGACAAGTATTGACGAACGTATCGCTGGAGCACTTTGGCTGCTTTGTCTCGTCGCGCTTTCTCTCGCTGCTCGGATAAGCGCACTCGCACTAAGTAACCACGGAAGAAAGCCTGTATTTTGCAAGCTGCTTCGTTGCGCCTCTGATGATCGGCACGCTCTACAAGAGTAGGTGGGAGACTGGAAAGTAGTGACATCTCTGCTTCCAATTTCTCTCGCCATCGTCGGTGCCTTGTTAGTCGGATAGAATGTTGAAACTCGGCCTCGACTAGTGTGTTACGTTCTACGTGTAGTTTGCGCGTTCGTCGCTCGCGGTACGCTCGCTGAAATAGAAAACGGGGAAACTCCTGTTGAGACGGTGAGCGTGAGCGATTAGAGAGTAGTTAGACTACTTGAATAACCAATGTTAGATCACAATACTAACACCAGACTCAGGAAATACCTTTTGTTCCAAAGGGAATTATTATTATATATTATTATTATTCCACGCCTGGCCGATATACAATTAGCAGTGCCACAACACTTTGTTATCAACCACAAAAAGGGGAAAACAGGTAGTCAGTGAAAGGGTTAAGAACGTATAAAAGGTTTATACGGTATGTGGACAGAGATATCCCTTGTTGCCCAGGTCGAGGAACAGGGTTGACTTAAGGACCCCATCTCGAGCCTTTGGTCATAAATACTTGACCCGCAAGGCGGAGGTACAATTAACGGCGACCGCTGACATCCGGGTATCTCATTTGTCTTCTTTGTGTTCAGTAGCAGTCCACAGACAAGCAGGTGACCAACAATGTTGTTCATCCACCCTCTGTCAGGTACTCGCTTCTGGTTACAGAAGTGAGTAGTCAGTGACCCTAAAGTCGGTCACATTGGCTTTGACACAGCGCAATACGAGCTCCTGCAGTATTTGATGGAGGTATTTGGTATTTTATGGGCTATGCTTTGCACCATCGAAACGCAGAGTTCTTCTCCAAGCTTCGCAGCGACCCACTCCTGCGCTGACCCTTGGCGGTGAAAATTTAGAAGCGTCGAGAAATCCAAGTATCTGTGCAGCTATATCAGCCCTCTGGGATTGCTGATGAAATCACGAACCGTGTAGCAAAAGCTCGATGCGATTTTGCTGATCTCCGCCATCTGTGGCGCCGGCGTGACATTACTCTCACTATGAAGTGCGGAGTTTACAATGCATCCGTCCGTACAACCCTCCTGTACGGTTGCGATACATGGCCCATCAAGTTGACAGACATAAAGAGGCTAACTGCGTTTGATCATCGCTACTTTTACACCTTAGATCATGTCCATTGGGAGCACCGCGTGAGCGATAAGCGTGTTCGGCCTCGCAAATTTAGTGAAGGAAGAGCTAGTGAGCCGCTCAGCGCCATTATATCACGCACCAGGCTCCCATGGCTGAGTCACTTGTTGCGCATGCTGGCCCACCCACTCCTACGACGTGCATTGCTTGCGCGCCGCGGGTATGGATGGAAGAAGAAGAGGTATGAAGTCCCTCACTTCCAACTTGGCGTCGGCTGATTCCCGACTGTTTGGCTGGGGCCCTAAGGAGGATGAACACGTATGGTTGGATAAACTAGCTGACGTGGCGAAGAGTCGACCTCAGTGGCGTTTGTGTTGTGAGTCTCTTCGTCTGCCCCCTCCCAAGCTTCCTCCTCCTACGATGTCAAACCCTATGCATAGTGGTATTTAGCACTGTTACCTTTTTAGGCTGTATCGTTTAATCTTTTATCATTTTTATTGCGGCATATTAGCTGTAGTGTATTTCTCACCTACAACTAACTTGTATTGATGGTGGTGATGATGACCATCTGGGTTTCACCAACGTTGCGTTTGCCTCTGCGTTGAGTTATTGGAGGAGGGGGATTGCAACCGAAACTCTGACAGCTAATCACATCACAAATACCACAAAAGAGTCGAAGTTACTGCACCATATATATATATATATATATATATATATATATATATATATATATATATATATATATATATATATATATGGTTGGCGGCATCCTGTTTCGTATTCGCATGGCACTGTGGTCAGCCACAGGACGCCTGCGTCTATAGAGGGACCACGGGTGGCTTGCGCTGCACCACGCACAGCTCCATCCACACACCCCACATCCAGTGTAAACCCGAAGGAATAAGACGGGAGGCATGCGGATGGGAGCCAGGTTTCATCAACGAAGCCGGCCCACACTACTTCACAGGCAAACACAAGCACGCTGTATTTGGGGAATCAACCGCACACAAGGCGGTGGCTGGACCGTAGTCCGCTCCACACTGAGTGCATGGAACCACTCTTCGAGCCTAGCACGACCACAAGGACCGTGCACCCCGTCCCCTCCAGCAACGACCAACTGTCTCCTGGAGCCAGATAGATGAGGTAGTGGGTAATAGACAGGTAGGCACCTTGTCAACATGCACATCAAGCGCAGCCACACCTGGGATGTCAAACAACAGCCAATCATTCGAAATGCCGATATCGAATAAAGTAAACGCATATGACGACATAAAGACTCGCTAAATGAGCATATGGAAGAAAGTGGTTAAATGTGAATACGCGATAAATACAAAATGTCCGAAAGTTATGTAAAACATACCACGCGATAAAATTACGCAAGTTTACCACAATTTGCATGAGCGACGTGTGTAAGTTGGGAGAAGATTATCAAGTACATAGAACAAACCAAATAAAATGTAATGAATTTTATCCACATTAAAAAGACCTAGTTTAAGTGTAAGTTGGTTTAGCCCAACTGCGGTGAAGAAGCATCATGAATGCGACATCAGCCTCAGCATGGGGCACACATACATACATGGTTTTATATATATATATATATATATATATATGTCAGTTTCGGAGCCTCTATATTTTTTATCTGGATGCTGCTGCGCAGTTGGAGCAACGACCAATGTGACTAAGCTCGGGACTCAAATGTGATAGTATCCGCCATTGACACATGCAAAACCAATGTTAAAGAACAGCCAGTGAACATTTAAATTTTAATTTTATCAGCAAATGCTGTCCTCATGGAGCTGCTATGTTTGAGTCCCAGGTACACAATTAACGTTATCCATACATTTATTATACGTTGTGCAGACCTCATCATGGCACCGGGAATGCCTCCGTTTTTATTCATAACAAGCTATGGTTCCACTGTGTCGGCCGGTGGCCGAGTGGTCTGTGCGCCTAGTTCGCAGCCAGGGGTGGGCGTCCTTTCGGTATATTCAGCCCACGCGCGACTGTTCGTGGTTGCGTGGCACTGAAGCGCTGTTAGGGCGTACAGCTGGCGGTTTGCTTTTTATGATTCCACTGTCAGAAATGGTATTTTTACCACTTGGAAAGTTATGATGGTGCGATAAACCCGCTCATTTGTCGGACTGGGTTGCTTACCTGTAGCAATATGATCGCATTGTTCACTTTTCGCAACTTTGAACGCACGCGAAAGCCTCTCCAAATAGACTGAATGAGAATCGCAGCCTGTTGCTTTGAGTACTTTGGAGCCGAGTGCAGCACACGTGAAACCGAGGTTTTTGTTTCCATATCTCGATGATGGATCAGTGTGGATGGAGATGGGTCAAAGCTTCCAATTCATTCCAATAATTTTAACAAATTCTTTTTATCTGCAAACGTTAATGTTCCATGTGATTCCCTAGGCCCACAATGAGATTTCGCGATCCATTGGTTAAACCGTTATATTCCACGGTACCGTTTGCAGGCTCTTGGACGTAATTCTTTGTAATTGTATAGGAAAACGATGAGACAGCTGCAGTATATAAGGAAAAAGGCATTAAATGCAAGTGATCGTTTAGCCAAACGAAGTTAATTTGGAACATTAAATGGACGCCTAACTAATGTCAGCCATGAGGTGCACAGAAGCAAAGCATCCCGGATTCAACCGTTTTGTGGGCAGTGTCAGGCAGTGGTAGAGAAACCACAACGCAGGGTCACAAAGAACGTAAAGGGTCTACGAAATCTGTCCTACCATTAAACTAGGTGTTGATGGCGTCCTTTCAGATGCCCCGATAATCAGCCCTGTATTTCGGATCGCATACGCACCGTCCGACTACTCAAGTCTCCTCTCCGAACACCCGCGACTGGTTCGACCGGCTGCAGAGCTTCCACCAGTCACGACAGAGGTCGCTCACCACATAGTCACGCGTGGTCAACCAATTAGCGCCCGGCCAACACGGCTTGCGCCAGAAAAACTACGTGCAGCACGAGCTGAATTCGACCACATGCTTCAGTTCGGTATCGTCAGACGGTCCAACAGCCCATGGGCGTCGCCTCTGCACATGGTCCCGAAGAAGGTTGTGGGGGAATGGCGTCCTTGCGGCGACTATCGAACCTTGAATACGGTTACCACGCCCGATCGCTATCCGATCCCACACATAGTGGATCTCACCGCCAGTCTGACAGGTAAAATTATCTTCAGCAAAATCGACTTGGTACGCACATACAACCAAATTCCGGTAGCCGAAGCGGACATCGTTAAAACTGCCGTGACGACTCCATTTGGTTTGTTCGAGTTTCTGTGCATGCCATTTGGCCTAAAGAATGCCGCGCAAACTTTTCAGCGTTTCATCGACCAAGTTTGTCGCGGTTTAGACTTCGCTTACGCGTATATTGACGACATTTTAATCGCAAGCTCTTCACGAGAAGAGCACATACGCCACATACGAACACTTTTTGATCGTTTATCTCAACATGGGGTGACGATCAACGCAGAAAAGTGTTCGTTTGGTGTCGATGCAGTCAATTTCCTGGGACATCGTATCTCTTCTGCAGGCGTCGTGCCACTGCAGGATAAAATTCAAGCCATCATCGGCTACCCCGAGCCCCATTCTTTCAAACAGCCCGGCGTTTTGATGGGCTTGTCAACTTGTACCGACGGTTTTTACCCAACTGCGGCTCGCTGATGCAACCCATCACGTACCTACTCCGAGGAAAATTCAAGAATTTCGAATTTCCTACGGTAGCACGCGCTGTTTTTAAGTCGCTGAAAGAGGCCATCGCCAAGATAGCTTCTATAGCGCATCACGATCCGGCCGCCCCACTCTCCCTCAGTACTGACCCCTCGGATGTGGTAGTCGGCGCTGTTTTGCAGCAACGAGTAGCCGACATGTGGCAGCCCTTAGCGTTTTTCTCCAAACGCCTACAACCTACCGGATCTCGTTACAGCACGTTCGGTAGAGAACTACTAGCCGTATAGCTAGTGATACATCACTTTCGACACGTCCTAGAAGTCCGCTCCTTTGTCGTCTTCACCGACCACAAATCCCTGACTTACGTGCTCGGCTCGACTATCGACCGATACTCTCCTAGAGAGTCGTGCCACCTTGACTACATCGCTCAGTTTACGACCGATATACGGCATGTCTCAGGTGTGCACAACGCCGTCGATGATGCACTCTCCCGCATCCAAGCTATCTCCGCTGACGCTGGCACTGCTATCGACTTGACAGCCATGGCCACAGCGCAACTCCACGATCCTGAGGTTGATCTACTACGCAGGTCTCCCTCATTGGATATACGACCCGTTCCGCTGACATCATCAGACGGAACGATACTTTGCGATTTATCTCTGGGCACGCCGCGCCCAGTCGTCCCACGCGAGTTTCGACAGACCGTGTTCGACACGTTGCACGGCTTGTCTCATCCAGGCGTTCGTGCATCGGTTAAACTCGTAACCGCACGATTCGTTTGGCGCAATGTTAATCGGAACGTCCGTATTTGGGCAGCTGCTTGCCTTCCGTGTCAACGCGCGAAGGTGCACAAGCACACGAGAAGCCCATTAGGCACGTTTCCGACGCCAGACGCACGCTTTCATCACGTGCACGTCGACCTCGTAGGTCCTCTGCCGCCTTCCAAAGGCTCGGTATATCTACTGACCTGCATCGATCGATTTACTAGATGGCCTGAGGCCGTCCCCATCCCAAATTGCTCCTCGGAAACGGTAGCGTAAGCTTTTATGGAGCGCTGGGTAGCTCAATACGGCTGTGCTGCCATCGTGACCACCGATCGAGGGTCACATTTCTCGTCGACATTTGCCATGTTGCTTAAGGATTTAGGCTGTTGCCACGTCCAGACGACGGCGTATCATCCGGCCGCTAACGGCGTGGTGCAGCGTTTTCACCGCCAGTTGAAGGTAGCGCTACGTGCGCAAGCAGATCCTTCATGGTCTGAAACGCTTCTCCTCGTTCTCCTAGGCTTAAAAACACGGTTAAAACCGACTTCGACGCCACACCAGCGCAGCTAGTGTACGGATGCACTCTGTGGTTGCCCGGACAGCTGGTCGCACCAGCCCCATGTACTTCCACTTTTGACTACGGAAGTTACAATGATCGATTGGCTCACCAGATGCGTGAGCTACGTCCACCCGCTCCTCGATCGCAGAAGACACCAGTGTACGTGCTCGAGAAGCTGTCTACTTGTTTACACGTCCTTCGTGCAGACGGTGTTCGACAGCCTCTTCAGTCGCCGTACATAGGACCCTTCAAGGTGCTGCATCGTGCGAGTAAGGCGTACACTATTGACCGCGGTGGTCGACACGAAGTCGTCACCATCGACCGTCTGAAAAACCCGCCTTTATGAAAGAAACTACCTCGCCTACTTCGTCTAGTAGTGCCTCGTGCGACGTCACAACTCACCGTACCAGTTTCCAGCATGCTAATGAAGTCCAACCAGACCACGATCACGGTCTGCAAGCTTCAGCAGTCCCGACATCACCCGAACCTAGTCCGCCGCCTCCCACGACCAATCGCCGTGGTCGGGAGGTACGTAAGCCCGTTCGCTTCTCCGACTATGTACAGTGTAAATACTTTTAACTTTGTAGATATTGTACATATTGACCTCATTTTTGGTCGATTAACGTTTTGAAAACAAACAAAAATTCCAAAAACCCACGAAAAACCTTTTCAAAAAATATGCAAAAACTAAAAAAATATTTAAACACGCAGATCATTCGTTTGTTATTTTTGGCGTTTTCTGCGCATGTTTTTCTATTTTCTCGTCTTTACATGCCCCAACCCTCCCCTTTGATCGACTGGCCCACACGAGGAACGTTTTCAAGGACCCTGACGCGAACACTGGTCGTTTCTCCGCGGGACGAGGATCGCTTCTTCGCGGGACGAGGATCGTTTCTCCGTGGGACCATGGTCGTTTTCTTCGTGGGACGAGGGTCGCCTTGGCGCGGGGCGGGGTGCGGCGGGGGGAGAGACCACTCCCAAGCGCACCGCTTGGCAGCAGTGGAGGTTAAGGTCCTGTCGGCCTTTTTCTGGGCTAACCAGTTATTTGTAGTCCGACAAGCCCGCTCCAACGGCTCGCCGAAATGCACCCTGCCCTGCATTCAATAAATAACAAATCATAAACGGCACAGCGGACTCCGACTTCCGACGAACCCCCATTTACACAACGCACGCCCGTTTTTCTCGGCACGATTTTGCTTTAGGAACCTCGTTTCAACATTCCTTTTCGATTTCGAAGGCTTTCTATGTTCAGCCTTCTAGGGGGGGGGAGCTCAGTAACGCCCAAAAAGGTAACTCTTATCTTTCGCGTACAATTTACTTGTTGACCGATTGTACATTACTCCTTCTTGTTTTAATCTTACAACCGGCTCGACACACGACTGCCTTGTAAGTCCCCGCGCTCACGTGTACGCTCTTGCCTCGCTTCATCCGTCCGCTTCTTGTTGTAGCCCATCGAATACAGTCCGCTGTGTCCGACTCCAATTGCCTTCTGATATCCGCGCTTAATTCTGCGCATCGTCTCGGGCTAGTATTAACTAGTCCTACAGTCTGCTTCGGCGTAACGGCAAGAGTTAATCGGGATTAATGTGCGCAAAGGGTAGAAAACTCCTGTTGCATAAACCACGGTCTGATAGGATTAGGACAGAAACTCGTCTATCGCGCCGAGTTATAGATCGCTGGAATTCTCTTCCAGATCACGTGGTTAGGGAACCTACGGTTAAGGGTTTTGCGCGCCAGTTCGATGCTCTTGGGTGGCAACAGCAAACCTTTCCTTTTTCCTAGCTGACTCACCTTCATTTTTCAGTTCCTTTTTTTATTGACTCAAATATCTTGGTATTCCACTTGCTTAGTTCTTACCACTTTCTCTTTTGCCTCCTGCGTTTACTTTTTTCTCTTTCTTACTTCACGTAACCGACCCAGCAGGGACTGCTAGGGCAGGATACGTGGGCATTAATTGGTTGGACAGGGTGTGATGCGGTCCTTGTTTTAGGTCCATCAGTATTTCAAAGTTCGCCAATTCCTGGTTCGACGACCCGCCGAAGAAGGAACACTCACGGGATCTATCCTATCGTTCCAGTCCCGCTTGAACTTGAACTTCTCTCTACAGGTCGGTCTGTAAGATTTTCTTAAAACAGAAAACAACAGAAATTGTGACGGCATAGTAGAGTTCGCTGGAGTTCTCACTACCAGTCGCGTCGATCAAAACTAAGATGCAGATAACTGAGATCACCGATCTATATGGGGTCCCTTACAAGTCAATAGGCTGTCTCTTATGTTCGTGTTAACCAATCATACGACAAGTTACAAAAACAAGCATAAAATATTAACGGAACTTTTACACCTGTAACGTGATCTAGTAATCGCCATTTACATAACAAGGTTGAGCAAGCAGGAAAATAGCACTCATTGGAGATGACAGCTTTGACCTACAAGTTGAATATTTACAGAAAATCTAGGAGACCGAAAGTGGCTGGGAAAACATAAAACAAACTAACAATGATTACAAATATAACATAAAAACTT